AGGAATCGAACCCAGGGCCTCATGCATGCAAGTCAAGTACTTTACCACTGAGCCACCTTCCCAGCCCCAAGGCCCTTATTTCTAATTAGCCAACAAAGAAGCCAGAAGTGGTGCTGTGCCTCGAGTGGTAGAGTGCTAGCCTTGAGCAAAACAAGCTCAGGGACAGTGTCCAGGCCCTGAGTTCAAGTCCCAGGACAAGCAAAACAAGAAAAAAGGGGGAAAAAAGAGAAATAAAGAATACCCCATTCTTGTTCTTTCCTTATTATTCCCACCTGTGACTACAACTTCAACTAACCATGAGGTCTGGCGAATTGAAGAGACCCATGTGTGTTCAACTCCAATGTTGTTTCTCTCCTAAATGATTACATGACACATTCAACCAATCCTCATTGGCCCTTGTGCCCTGTAATCCCTTCAATGAATTCTCTTCAAGGATGGGAAGTAGAGTCCTCGTATTTCCTGTCTGTCCAATACACATGGCAGATAATAACTCCAGGCCCGTCCAGACGTGGGCCCTCTGTCTCCAGTTTCATTTGGGGTCATTCTCCCCTCATCTGACCTTCACCTTTCCCAGCTGCCTGATTGGTCCCTGAATTCAGTTCCCTCCCAAGCTGAAGCTCTTCACATCCCATCATCCTTTGCTAGCGCCCTCTTTGCTTTGCTCTCTATATAATGAGCTCCTTCTCAGCACCCAGGGCTCTACTTGAAGATAGTCCCCTTGGAAAGGCCGTTTTAACTACCTGGCGCAGGTAAGTCCCTCCTGCTTATCTTCCCCAGCACCACGCCATCTTTTTCTTTGAAACCACCACAGTTCATGATTGATTGGGCAATTGGATTTGATTGCTGCCCCAGTAGGTTATAATGTCCACTAAGACAGGAGCCCGGGCTTAGCCAGCCCAGGTCTTGTATATCTGGGCTCTCATTAAGTATTTGGTGAACAGATCAAGGATTAAAGAATCTGTGCTCATGCCTGTAATCGCAGCTCCTCGGGAGGCCGAGATCTGAGAATCCCAGTTCAAAGCCAGCCCAGGTAGAAAAGAGTGAGACTCTTATCTAGCAAAAAGCCAGAAGTAGAAGTATGGCTGTAGTGATAAAGTGTCAGCTCGGGCGAAGGGAGATTGCAAGGCCCCGAGTGCCGGTTTCAAACGAAGAAAGAAGTATTTGTGTTTATTACTTCTGCTCTCAGTTCTTACTTGGTTCAGGCCACAACCATATCTTAAGTATCATTGAAATCCCAGCAACACGACTGCTTGCACTGAGTAAGCATCTGACCTGCTGACTATGGAAAATACCATAGGCTTTTTGCTGTTGTTTTTGATGATGTTTGTTGTGGGGCCTGAACTCTGGGCCTGGGCGCTGTCCCTCAGCTCTTCAGCTCAAGGCTAGTGCTCTACCACTTGAGCCACAGCGCCACTTCTGACTTTTTCTGCTTCTGTGGTGCTGAGGAATCGAACCCAGGGCCTCATGCATGCGAGGCAAGCGCTCTACCACTGAGCCACCTTCCCAGCCCCCTGTTTGTTTGTTTTGCTTCGTTTTGATTGTGCCAATCTGGCAGCTTGAGTTTAGGGTCTAGGTGCTGGAACTCAGTTTTTTTCTCCCTCAAGGTTGTCATGCTCTACCAGTTGAGCCACATCTCCACTTGGTACTTTTTGCTAGTTAATTGGAAATAAGAGTTTCATAGACTTTCCTGCATAGGCTGACTTTGGTCCTCCATCCTCAGATCTCAGCCTCCTGAGTAGCCAGCATTACAGGCGAGAGCCACTAGTGCTCAGTCAGAAGATGACATAGATTCATAATTTACCAAAAGAGTCAAAGAGGAACTTCTAATCATGCTCATGAATTGCAGGACGGGTTCCTGAGACACATGCACTCATGGATTTACTGCCCACCATTGGAGAATAGGATCAGTTAAGTCACTGTCCTTACATGTGTCCCAGCCCAGCACCACATTTGTGGGGGAAAAGTTTCTACCCCATGTATGCCCAAAGATGGATGTTCTAACCTGGAACAAACAGCATCCTCTAAAACCTTCTGCAAAAAAATGGGTAGCTATACTCTTAAGAGCATTTTCCTGGGGAAAGTATCCATTACTATCATTAGATTGTTAGAGTAAGACAGTTGTAGCCAAAAAGCTCAGAGTCATTGAGCTCGGCCATTGTTGTCCAATAGAACTTTCTATAGTGATGGAAATGTTCTGTGTCTGTGTTGTCAATGGCAGCATCAGCCAGCTGAGGCCACTGAGCAAATGAACTGCCATGGTGACTGTGGAACTCAATTTTCACTGCATTTATTTATTTATTTATTTATTTTTGGTTGGTTGTGGGGCCTGAACTCTGAGTCTGGGCGCTGTCCCTCAGCTCTTCAGCTCAAGGCTAGTGCTCTACCACTTGAGCCACAGCGCCACTTCCAGCCTTTTCTGCTTATGTGGTGCTGAGAAATCGAACCCAGGCCTCATGCATGAAAAGTAAGCGCTCTACCACTGAGCCACCTGCCCAGCCCCTACATTTAATTTTTAAGTCATTTGAATCTAAAAGAAAATGGTCATGTACAAAAAGAATCTCTCAGAAAAAATAGTCAAGGTGGCTCACACCTGTAATTCCAGCTACTCAGGGGCTGAGGTAAGGAGGATCACAGTTCAAAGCTAGCCTGGGCAAAAACTTCTGGTAATAGCTGGGCACCGTGGTGTTTATCTGTCATCCAACAAGAGGTCAAGATTGGAAAGGTGGCAGTTCCAAGCCAGCCTAGGTAAAAAGTTTGTGAGACCCTCATTTTACTGAGTAAGCTGAGTGTGTTGATGTACGCCTGTCACCCCAGCTACAGCAGAGAGAGTAAATAGAGGACCATGGCTTCAGGCAGGCCCAAGCAGAAAAGGCAGACCCTATCTCAAATATAAACAGAGTAAAAAGGAGCTGGAGGTATTAACCAAGTGGTAGAGAACCCGCATAGCAAGGGTAATGCAATCTCAGTATCATCCATTTAAAAACGTTAGAATGGATCAGGACACTGGAAACCATATGTTTATAAGACTCTATATAATACACATGGGCTGGGAAGGTGGCTTAATGGTAGAGCGCTTACTTTTCATGCATGAGGCCTGGGTTCGATTTCTCAGCACCACATAAGCAGAAAAAGCTGGAAGTGGCGCTGTGGCTCAAGTGATAGAATGTTAGCCTTGAGAACAGAGAGGCTCAGGAACAGTGCCCAGGTCCTGAGTTCAAGCAGCCCCAGGACTGGCAAAAAATTATATATATGGACAAGATTTCAATAAGTGAAATGTTAAGGTCTGTGAGTTTTGTCTGACAATCTGGCTAATCAGAAACATTGAAGTCTTTGGAGAACCTGAAATAATCTAAAATAGAATTATTAGGAAGACAGGTCTCATGTTAAAGAGGGGGCTTCATGCCCATAGTCTCAGCCCTTGGGAGGCTGAGGCAGGAGGATCCAGAGCTTGGGCTACATCAAGCAGCTCTATATCAACTGCAACAAAGGAAAAGACATTGAAAGGAAGAAAAGAAAGACCAAGAGGAGAAAGGGGAGGAGAGGAGGAAGGAAAGGAAAAGCGAGGGGAGGCGGGGGAGAGGAGGAGACTTGTGTGACATGTTTACAGGCTCTCGAATGTTTCCAAGCAGCCCCAAGAGCCCTTTGTAGAATAAGAGAGAACCTTACAGATCTCAGGCCCTCGCGAGATCAGGCGGTGTACTCACCAGCAAGTGTGAAGTTGAACTCTTGACTATATTTTGAGATGTTGTAAACTTGGACTTTGCATTTGTAGGGGCCTGATTCATTGGCTTTCGAGATATTTCGGTTAAAAATCACCGGTTCACCTTTTCCTTTCTTCTTGTCCAGTTGTTGAGTATGCCAAAACAAGGAGTAATTGGCCTGAAGCGATGTGTTCTTGATGGAACAAAACAGAAAGACATTTTGGCCCATCCTCACCGTACTTGTGTTTGAGGTCAAATTTGGAGAAAAGAATTCTGGGAAGAAAAAAAAAAAGGAAAGACAAGAAAAGGTCCTCATGAAGACGCAGTGATAATAAGTCGGCGGCGGTGTAAGCATATTTTCTGGGTCATACGATGGGCACTTTCCATTCCTGAGGAGACTTCACAGGGATGGGGTTCAGGGGGGACTCTAGTCTCTACCCCATGACCAGAGGGCAGATATGAGCAGGCCTGCTTGCTCTCTTCTTTCGCCAGGGTAAAGCTCACATTGATTCCAATACCACTTGCTGTGCTGACTTGGAAATAATTAACGCAACGAGAGGACCAAGCATTAGATTTGATGACTTGTTGGGTCTATCTGCTGGGCACTGGTGGCTCACACCTGTAATTCTAGCTACTCAGGAGGCTGAGATCAGAGGATCACGAGTCATAGCCAGCCCAGGAAGGAAAGTTCATGAGACTCTCATATCTCCAATAAACCACTAGAAAACCATAAGTGGCGCTGTGGCTTAAATGGTAGAGCACTCGGCCTGATCTGAAAGAGCTGAGGGACAGCCCCCAGGCCCAGAGTTCAAGCCCCATGACCAACAAAACAAAACAAAACAAGAAATTGGAAAATTTGAAACAGAATAGTATAGAAGACCATATCCTGAGCTATGTGTCCTTCTACCTGCTCCAGTCATGTCAGCTCACGGCCAGTGCCATCTTAAAGTTTGCCCCTTCTAAAACTCATGTTGCTCCCTCCCCAGTACGTATTTCTAGTGGGGCTTAAACTATATCACAAAGACTGTTTGGTTTTCCGGCTCAAAAAAACAATCACAATAAAGAAAAAGAAAACTATTTGGACAGAGCCCAATGTTGGTAGCTCAGGTCTGTAATCCTATGCAGGAGGCTGAGATCTGAAGATTCCAGTTGGAAGCCAGCCAGGGCAGACAAATCAGAGAGACTCTTATTTCAAATTAACCAGCAAAAATCTGGAAGAAGGGGTGTGGGTGACACTGTTCAAAAAGAAATGTACTCATTACCTGACTTACATAACTGTAGCCCCTCTGTACATCACCTTTACAATAAAATATAAATTTAAAAAAATCTGAAGGGGGGCTGGGAAGGTGGCTCAGTGGTAGAGTGCTTGCCTTGCATGCATGAAGCCCTGGGTTCAATTCCTCAGCACCACAGAAGCAGAAAAAGCCATAAGTGGCACTGTGGCTCAAGTGGTAGAACACTAGCCTTGAGCCTTGAGCTGAGGGACAGCGCCCAGGCCCAGAGTTCAGGCCCCACGACCGACAAAAAAAAAATCTGGAAGAGGAGTTATGGCTCAAGTGGTAGAGCTCCAGCCTCAAGTGAGTGATAAAGCCAAGGAAGAGACTCTTAAATTCAAACACTGGTACACACACACACACACACACACACACACACACACACACACACTGTCGTGGGAGAAAAGATCTCAACTTTGTGTCAGTGTCTCTGGGGGAAAAAAATATGCCCCAGCTTCCTCCCTAAAACAGCTCATTGTTAACAATAGGAAGCGAAATCGACTTTCACCCTTCGTTCCTTCATCTTTTTAAAATTTAAAAGATGAACGCCCTTGAGAAAAGAGTAAGACTCACCCGTTTTCCTGTCCAGGTTCTCATGAGCCGACACAGCCATTTGAACTGAAAAGGAACAGGAGAGAGAGAGAAAGCTGATTTTCCGCAGGATGGTTTGGTTTGGAGAATCAGACCTCAGCAGCGCTAAGTGAGCTTACAGGAGACAAAGGAAAGAAAGCCCCCGAGGAGCAGAGCGGTCCGCGGGCCCCGCATCCTCCTGAGGAACCGGGGAGGAGATGACAGAGAGCCCGCAATGGTGAAAGCTGCAGCAGGGATGGCGCGAGGCTCAGGAGAACTTCCTCTTTTTCTCCAGCAGACTAAGGAAGTCAGGAGAGATCTAGGCTAGGCGAGCCTTACACAACTGGTCTAATTGGCTCAACTCATCTCTGTGTGTCTCCATGAGTTCCCATAGAAAGATGGGGTAAGTTGCCCGTGGACAAAGGACAGGAAGGTGGAAAAGTGACCCAAAAAAGGACAAATCTGGCTGTTAGACTGTTTTGGTAAACTAAAGGCCTCTATCGGCTAATGGCGTGTGCCTCTCTGACCACAGATTCTTCCTGTTGTGTTAAGAGTATTTTCTTCCGTATTGCTGATTTGCTACTGGAACCAGACCAGTTGTACAGTGCTACAACTTGAGACAAGTTTGGTGGAAGCCAGTGTTGGTGGATCATGCCTCAAAATCGTAACTACTCAGGAGGCTGAGATCTGAGGATCATGGTTTGAAGCCAGCCGGGCAGACAAATCTGAGAGACTCTCATTTCCTATTACCCACCAAAAACAAAAGTGGAGGTATGGCTCAAGTGCTTGAACCCCAGCCTTGGCCTTGAGCAAGAAAACTGAGCCCTGAGTTCAAACCTTCATACTGAAGAAAAAAATATATATGTGTAGATCATCTATACCTTGGAAATGTTTTTCTTCCAGACAGTGAAAATTGGAGACAAATGAAAAGAAATATTGGACATCTTTTATTCAGTAGTGGGGCTTGAACTCAGAGCCTGTGTTCTCCTACAACTTGTTCACTCAAGGCTGGTGCTCTGCCACTTGAGCCACACCTCCACTTCTGGCTTTCATTCTTTTCAAGCTTGAGTAACGGTTGCAGTTTTTCCTCAGCTTGTGGGGACAGAGCCAGGCCAAGCTTTCAGTCCCAAAAGAATATACTAGGAATGTGCCTGTGGGAAGCAGGCAACCTGGGAAACAAAGGAACTGGATCAAATAAACTCTGTCTTACCAAGTCACATAGTGAGTCAAATATCTGATTGTTGGACAATAAATGTCAATGGATAGAGAATAGATTTAAAGCCAGCGAAGTGGCACACTGCTGTAATCTTGGCACTTTGGAGGCTGAGGTAGAAGGATTATGAATTTGACAATCCTGGGTTATAAGCAAGGTCCTATCTCAGCAGAGTTGAATAGATGGATCTGAAGAAGGTTTTGTCACCCCAGGGACAAATGTGACCCTAGCAACAGAAAATCGAGGGCCAATGGCTCATTATTACACATCTGAATAAGAGTTAGTTTTATATTAAAAAACAAAAACACAAAAATAAACTCCAACTTCTGACGAGGTGCCAGTGGCTCACGCCTGTAACCTTAGCTACTCAGGAGGCTGAAATCTGTGGATCGTGGTTCCAAGCCAGCTTGGGCAGGAAATTTTGTGAGGCTTTTATCTCCAATGAACATACACACAAAAAAGCCATAAAGGGAGCTGTGGCTGAAGCGGTAGCACAAAAGCTCAGGGCTAGTGCTCAGCCCTTGAATTCAGGCCCTAGAACTGGCACAAATACCCATTCTGGACGGAAACTTTCTATTTCATTAGGAAGAAAATAATGGGTGGAATGAAGCGTGCCTGTGGGTACCTGTGCTGAGAAGGACTCACTGGTCCAATAAATGATACGCTGCAGGAAAACACTGGAAACTTCCATGTCCATCTTATTTGAAATTGATCTACAAAAATGATTTAACTCCAAAAACAGTGCTCTACAAATGCAGCCCTTCTAGCCAATGTACATTCTGTAAAAAGTGAACTACATAACGAGCATAGAGATGGGAGGGATGGAGGACTCTGGGGAAAACCATGGAAAGGGTGACATTAATCGAGATGCATTATACTCAACCACCTGATTTATGGCATTGTAACCTCTTTGTACAGCTGTTTAATAATAAAATAGTGCTGCAGTAGCAGTGTGTGTGTGTGTGTGTGTGTGTGTGTGTGTCCTGGGGCTTGAACTCAGAACTTGTCTTCTTTCCCTGAGCAGTTTTGCTCAAGGCTAGCACTCTACCTCTTGAGCCACAGCTTCACTTCTGTTTTTGTTTTTGATTTTGTTGGACATGGGGCCTGAACTCTGGGCCTGGGCGCTGTCCCTTAGCTTTTCAGCTCAAGGATAGTGCTCTACCACTTGAGCCATAGCGCCACTTCCGGCTTTTTTTTCTTTTTGCTTATGTTGTGCTGGGGAATCAAACCCAGGGCCTCAGGCATGCAAGGCAAGCGCTCTACCACTGAGCCACCTTTCCAGCCCCATCCACTTCTGTTTTTTGAGTGGTTAATTAGAAGAGTTTCATAGGGCCTTTTCTGCCTGGATTGGCTTGGGACCACAATCCTCAGATCTCAGCCTCCTGAGAAGCTAGGATTACAGGTGTGAGCCATTGGTACCTGGCTCTATGTTTAATTTTTTGAGGAGCCTCCAAACTTTGCTTTCCAGAGTGACTGTACTAGTTTACATTTCCACCAACAGTGCAGTAGGATTCCTTTTTCCCCCACATCCCCAACCACATTTGCTGTTGTTTGAAATCATGATATTGGTCCATCTAACTAGGGTGAGACGGAATCTGAGTTGTTTTGATTTGCAGTTCCTTTATGGCCAGGGAGGTTGAGCCTTTCCTCATGTGTTAGCCATTTTTACCTCTTCTTCTGAGAAGTATCTCTTGGGCTCCTTTGTCCATGTAGTAACCAGTTTATTAACTCTGGGGGGAGAAGGGTATCAATTTTTTGAGCTCCTTTGGATATTATTTTGGCTATTAGCCCCTTGTTGGATATCTCAACCCTGTTTTATACTTACTGACCCTTTTTGTACTTTGGTTTTGAACTCAGGGCTTTTCTCCTGCTTTATACTTAAACCATAAACCAAGCCACTTTTGCTTTGGTAATTTTTTTTGGGGGGGGTCCAGTCGTGGGGCCTGAACTCTGGGCCTGGGCACTGTCCCTCAGCTCTTCAGCTCAAGGCTAGTGCTCTACCACTTGAGCCACAGCGCCACTTCCGGCTTTTTTCTTTTTGCTTATGTGGTGCTGAGGAATCGAACCCAGGGCCTCATGCATGCAAGGCAAGCGCTCTACCACTGAGCCACCTTCCTAGCCCCTGCTTTGGTAATTTTTGAGGAGGGTCTTGAATTTTTTTCCTGGGCTAACCTTGGGCATCAATCCTCCTATTGGCTAAAATAACAAACTGCTGTGATTACAGGTGTGAGCCCCTGCATCCTGCTACTTTTCAGCATTTTTTTCATGTTTTTTAAGGTTCAGTAAGGATTTTATTATAACCAGGTTAAAGTAGGGAGAAATAGGAAAAGAGAGAAAATTTCCTATTCTCTGCTTAGGAAATGGTTTTAATGGAGTATTTCATGAGAATCATAATTAATGAAACAAAAAACTTGTTTGTAGCAACACTAAGCTTTTATGTAAAAAGAAACATGGAAGTATGAGATTGATATCCAGAGATAAACACTGCCTGCAAAGATTCTGTCAAAATGTTAATGAGCGGCTGGGAATGTGGCTCAGTGCTAGAGCGCTTGCCTAGCATGCAGGAAGCCCTGGTTTCCATACATATTTAGAAAAAGCCAGAAGTGGCGCTGTGGCCCAAGTGGTAGAGTGCTAGCCTTGAGCAAAAGAAGCTCAGGGACAGTGCCCAGGCCCTGAGTTCAAGCTCTAGAACTGGCAAAAATAAATAAATAAACGGGAGTGAGTGATTCATATTGGTGGCGGAACTGTGGGGGTTTCTCTGCTTTGGGCCTGCTTTCAACTTCTCTTTCCACATTCACACTTTTATTATAGAGAAGTGGGGGGGGGGCGGGCGGAAATGAGCCAGAACTTGTCACTTCATCAAAGAAACTGCGGAGGACATGTGACAAGCAAAAGCAGGGGGCCAGGGGCCTCCCCGCGGCCAGGGCTCACCACCACACCACCGAGTCGCTCAGAAGAGGAAAATGAGTCTTTTTCTGGAAGGTGAAATCCTTCCTGGAAGCTCTGCTCTGCTCAGCAACACACAGCAGACCCGACTTCCTTAGCAAAAGAGGAAGGGGGGGGGAGAGAGACCTAGAGACAGAGACAAGGAGAGGGAGAGGGGGAGAGAGAGAGAAAGAGAGAGAGAGAGAGAGAGAGGAGCCATGCTCTACATCCCTATTGATCATCTAGACTCAGTGCTGGGATTACAGGCATGCAGCACCATTCCTAACTAAGAATTGGGTGAAATATAAACACCTAAACAGCACCCCAAACAAAGACAGCTAGCTACTAGGTAAGAGCAGAGCTCATGTCCTGGCTCCTGCAATGACCTGGGTGCCACCCTCGGTCTCCCTAGCTTCCACACGGGGCCTCAACTGCGGAATTCCGCATCCTTGGTCACCGCTGATCATAAACTGTCACTCACCACGCAGCCCAGCCCTGTGTAAACCACAGGCCGCCCTTTCATTTCCCCTGGATGGTTATCTCCTCCATTTCTCCCCTCCCCTCCCCTCTCTTCCCTTTCTTTTCTTTCCCCTCCACTCTCCTCTCTCCACCCTGAACCACATTCTGCTCAATAAACTTTGGCCTTTCTATTGCCTGGCTGTGTCCTGCTTAATTCTTTGTTCTAGACCTAAAGGGACTAGAACAGACCCCTGGACTGGAACAGACCCCACCTAGAGACACCTCACTCAGGGAGCCCCCCGACCCCTCACCCCTACTTCAGACTGGAAAGACACTCTTTTCTGTCCAGTTGTGGGGCCAGGAGAAACCTGGCTGGGTGAGGACAGGGTGCACACCAGGCCCCAGTGCTTGTGTCCACTCGGGTCTAAAGTGGCGCGTGGCTCAAGTGGTAGAACTCTAGCCTTGAGCAAAAGCAGCCCAGGGACAGTGCCCAGGCCCTGAGTTCAAGCCCCAGGACTGGCCAAACAAACAAACAAACAAACAAAAAACAAGCAAAGAACTTACTTAAAACATTCTTTTCTGGGGCTGGTAAGGTGGCTCAGTGGTAGAGTGCTTGCCTTGCATGCATGAGGCCCTGGGTTCGATTCCTCA